GGTCGACGGGAAAGCGTTAACTTCCCGGATCTTCGACGTTACGAGACGCTTTGTTTCCCTTCCTCTCGCTCAGGTGAGATGATGATGCCTCAGTCGATCACTGTCACTCAAGGGGGAAGGACGTTCATTTCGCAGAGACAATGGGCTTGATGGAATGGTATGTGTGTATGTGACAGTGTGTCTGTTTTGTATGGTCGCGTGTGTGTGTGTGTGAGGGAGGAAGGGGCGGCGTAAGTGTGTGAGTAAATCGATAAATAATAATTACCAATAAACATTTAAAAATATATACAAATAGATTATGAATAAAAAAGATAAAAAATAAACAATTCTACACAAATAAGGAAATCAGTAGCAAATTTAGAGAGAGAGAGAGAGAGAGAGAGAGAGAGAGAGAGAGAGAGAGAGAGAGAGAGAGAGAAAGTGAGAGAGAGAGAGAGAGAGAGAGAGAAATACAATTAACTTTGGAAAGCAAATGCCAGAAAATAAACAAAAAAAAAATATACAATAATAATAAAAAACAAAAATCAAAAACAATTTTATAATTTTATCGAAGCATAAGAAATGAACGACATAATAAGATTACCATTAATTCTTTTCCAAAATTTCACCAGCACTATACTTTCCTGTCTACCATATGTGGTACTATCCTTAACGATTCACAAAGCAATTGTATGCGTTTAACATCTACTGAAATCAACAAATTAAAATCCCAACTTCAATGTTCATTTTCAAATCACTTTGCTGATGGACCCTGCCCCCCCCCCCCAAAAAAAAAGGAAAGAAAAATAAACAAAAAAACAACAAAATAAAATAAAAAAGAAAAAAAGAGGAGAAAAATACACGAAAGAAAGAGAGTGAGAGAAAGATTTAAAAAAAAAAACTTTCTTATCAATTTCCATATATAGAAAATCACTATGAAATTTCCTGTAGCGTCCTGAAGCCGAACTGAATTATAAATAACAAAAAAAGGTAACTTAGGTACACCTTAATATGGCAAGACTAGGGTCGTTAAAATACCCCCCCCCCCCCCAAAAAAAAAAAAAAAAAAAAAAAAAAAAAGAAGAAAGAACTTTTTAACACACATGTAAACACACATACAAACACTTACACACAGACACACGCACGCAAACACTTACACACAAGCACGTACACACAAACACACACACCACACGCAAACACTTACACACAAACATACACACACATGTAAAAACTTACACACAAACAACAACGAAACGAGTCATTTAGCCATAACAACGTCGTTGATGAAGGGTAAAAGGACCAGCCCCCTTAACCGAAGCCTAAGTCAAAGAATTAATATCTTCTCGTTCGAATCTTAATCGCGGTCAATTGATACGATTTCACTGCTGATTATACGCGAGGGAAAACGTATAGCGAGGGGGGGGAGAGGGGTATACATGCCATAAAACTCGAGGTATGCACACGCTAGAAGGAATAGTATTAATATTGATATGGGCGTTTGGTGTTCGTGTACGTGTATGTGTGTGTGTGTGTGTGTGTGTGTGTGTGTGTGTGTGTGTTTTCCCCTTCTTAATTCTCCTTTATTACTATATCGTTGATTATCGATATTCTCATGATTATAACAATCTTTACTGTCATGTGTGTGACTGGTTTTAGTTATTATTAACTCTGTTTTTACCATTATCATTTTAAATTTTTGTGATTGTATTATTATCATTATTATTATAACTATTATTATTGTTGTTTTGTTATTATTATTAGTTTTAATTTTTTATTGTTATTTATTATTATTATCATGATTATTATTATCATTACTATTGTTATTATCATTATTATTATCACTATTATTCTGATTATCATCATCATCATCACTACTATCATTATCATTTTTATAATCCTTACTATCATTACGATAATTATCACTACACTCACCATCATGATCGCTCTCATTATCACAGATATCATCACCATCCCACACGCATTACGAACATTATCACATTATCATCACCACCACTAACCTCAATGATTCTCCTGCTCATCAGAATATATGCAAATGACAAAGTCTTGATGCCCGTGACAGCTTCGAAATAATACAAGTGGCATTTTGTCGATTATCCAAAAAAAAAAAAAAAAAAAAAAAAAAAAAAAAAAAAAAAAAGTGTTAATCTTCACAGTCAAGTTTACGGATAGACAGATCGACCGGGGAAGATGGACAAGTGCTTGTTACAGAAATTTGGTGATTAAGTACAGCTAATGTCCATGGAGACAGGTAGATAGATACAAGGGGACAGGTAGATAGATACAAGGGGACAGGTAGATAGATACAAGGGGACAGGTAGATAGATACAAGAGGGTAGGTGGATAGATACAAGAGGGTAGGTAGATAGATAGAAGGAGACAGGTAGATAGATACATGGTACACAGACACAAACTGACAGGTAGATAGGCAAATTAACAGGTAGATAGACACAAGGGGACGCGTGAACAGACACGCGGGAACAGACAGACAGACAGACTCGAAATAGGGGCCTCTATAATTAAATGGTAAGCAAATTAACTGGTGTACGAGATGATGTCCTAGAAATTCGCTGTTGTGTAAACCGTTATTAAATACAAATTTACTATTAAACGAACAGTTTCTACTGTTTGTAAACGGATATGAACTATTGTTAACACTCATAACCCTCAATATGAACTGCTGTTAATGCTTATATCCTTTTATACGAACTCTTACCAACACATATTGACCATTATCCGGATTGTTATCTATGCATATAACCAAATCTCGACCTCCAATTAACGCAAAATACCTGTTAGTGAAAGCCAAACTTAAAATAACTGTTTACACGAGATGACGTCCAGGCAAATGAACTGTTACAGGAGTGGGTGTTAACGCAAATTAACTGTAGCATGTTAACGCAATTTCGTTGTCACACAAATCGCCGGCAAGAAACGCTTATTGTCCCATGACCTGATAGGTACACAGGCTCGTCCTCTGAGCAAATTGGCAATAACAACAGCATTACAAACGATACTGATAACGCAAATTAGTTTCCCGGGCGAGGGGCTGGGCCAAAAACTGACTGTTATGGATGCTTAGTTAAGATTTTTTTTTTTTTTTTTTTTTTTTTTTTTCTTTTGGGTGGGGGGAGGAGGGCAGATACTATCAAATGTTTTTTTTTTCTTCTTACTTTCTTGCTTCTTATAGTTTATACGATATATATATACATACATATATATATATATATATATATATATATATATATATATATATATATATATATATTACTAGATGTGTGATCAGAGATATAACTTCATGATTAACAAAATTATATATGTAATGTGCTTTTCTTGATATTATTACTATTTATTCATTATTTCCTTCCACATATACGATCAAACGTATAACCTAAAATATTCCTGATTAACAACAGAATATATAATTTTTTTTTCTTTCACGCCATTATATATAAAACTACACGGAATAATTCTTCTAGTTCAAAAATTCTGTAAAACAAAATAATAAAAACAACTTTCTTTCTACTTCACTTTTTCGTTAATACCTTTATCCAGACACACGGCATAGAAATTCCTCGCAGAACCCAAACGGAACAACGACACGAACAGAACTTCCAATATTCTCAAGTCAAGATCGCTTTCTCACGATGCCAGGCTCCCCGAGGTGCGTCGTCCTGCGTTTTGGCGTTCTGGAAGAAATTCCTGATTCGATATTCTCCGGCGTTAATTCTTGCCTAACACAATGGCGCTTTCGACCGATGTCAGTACCCCCCCCCCCTTCTGCCATCTCTCTTTTTCTCTCTCTCTCTTTGTCTCTTTCTCTCTCTCTCTTTTTCTCTTTCTCTCTCTCTCTCCTTCCCTCCTTCCCCCCCCTCTCTCTCTCTATCTCTCTCTCTCTCTCTCTCTCTCTCTCTCTCTCTTTCTTTCTCTCTCTCTCTTTCTCTCTCTCTCTCTCTTTCTCTCTCTCTCTCTCTCTCTCTCTCTCTCTCTCTCTCTTCCTCTCTCTTACTTTTGACTCTCTTTTCTCTTCTCTTTCCTCATTTCTCTTGTCTGCTTCTTTCATTCTCCATCTCTTCATTTTCCCTTCCTTTTTACACCTCCCTACCCCTCTTTTCCCCTTACCGCTTTTATAGCTCTTATTTCTCCTTCCTTATACCTCTTTATCTTATCTCTTCTTCCTTATACCTCTCTCCTTCTCTCCTTATACCTCGTTTTCACCCTTCCTTGCCTCCCACCCGTTATTCTGCCTTTTCTTCCCCTTCTCTCTTTCCTTATACTTCTCTCCCTCCCCCTCCCCCTTTATACCTCTCTCCCTCCCCCTCATACTTCTCTCCCTCCCCCTTATACCTCTCTCAAGCCTCTCCTTCCGCCTCATCCTTCTTCCTTCTCCTCCTCCTCCTCCCTCCTCAAACCTCTCTTAGGTCTTCCTTATACCTCTATCCCTCTCTTCTTCTCGTTCTCTCTCTCTCCTTATACCCCCCCCTTCCCCCTCGTTTTCCTCCTCGTGTTCCTTCCTCCTTATGCCATCCCTTTCCCTCTTCCTTATATCTCCTTTTGGTCTTCCTCCCTCCCTCCCCCTCCTGCCTTCCTTCCATATACCGTTCTCACACACTCCTTCTCAACCCCCTCCCCCCTCCTTCTTTAAACTTCCCTCCCTCCCTCCCTCCCCCTCCTTCCCCTCTCTCCATATACCTTCCCCCTCCCCCCTCCCCTCTTCCCCCACCCCCCACATTTGCCTCTGTCCTCATATATATATATTTCTTCTCTTGGGCGCGACACCGTGGAATATTGTGTGTGAGTTATCGCCGGTGGGGTGATAAATGGGGGACGGGGAGGGGGAGGGGGAGGGGAATGGGGTGGGGGAGGCAAAGAGAGGGGTAAAGGGGAGGGGGAGGGGAAGGGAAGGGGTAAAGGGGAGGAGAAGGTAAAGGGAAGGGTAAAGGGGAGGGGGAGGGGAAGGCAAAGGAAAGGGTAAAGGGTAGGGGAAAGCAAAGGGAAGGGAG